CTGTTCGCACGATTCGCTGATGAACACGAATTCGGTCGGACGTCGTTTAAAAGATGTTCGCAATCCTCTTGAGATAAACTCGGATCAAGACATCCGATTATACCGCCAACGAATAGCGTCGCAATGTACGGAACTATGACGTCGAGGTTGTTTTCCGAGCAGAAGCTTACAATATCGTTCGGTTTCAAACCGACTTCCATCAATTTTTGCGCTGTTTTTATCGATTTCTCAAGAATTTCTGAATAAATTTCTCGCTCTCCCGTGTCTATATCGATCTGCGGACAAGGAAAGTTTCACTTCAACAGTACTCTTTGTGAAGATTCGAATTACCTGAGCTAGTTTGGATTGATGGAGTTTAAGGGCTTCGAAGAAAGCGCATCCTAAGCCGTTTCTGTTGAAGACGAGTTTCACGTCGTCGTTTGTGAAAACCTTACTTATCGGATCGTACTCTGAAATAAATTGAATAGCAATAATTATTATTTACGAGAATATTTGTAATTTGCAAACCCATTGCTCCTTGATTCGATACTGATTGGAATTTGATTGAGCGAATCATTTATACGAAAGTCAGATGATAATAAAAAAAAACAGCGTAATTGATAAGGTTTTTTTTTTTATTTAATTTTTACTACAATTCACCAGATAATATCATCTTTTTCAATTGGTTCTTCTTGACTTTGCCGGAGGGCGTGTATGGAAGTGAAGACAAGAACCTGACTCCAGCTCTCAACCTGTACCTATCCTCGACGCGATTCTCCACGTACTTAATTAAATCCTCTTCGGTTAACTCTTTTCCTGCGTGTAACATCACCAAAGCCATCGGATGATCGCCGTCTTCCTCGTTGGGAATTCCGATAACGACGGCTTGAGCGATCTGCGGATGGGCGAGTAAAACTCCTTCGATTTTAGCTGGGGGAATGTGAAAGGCTTGAAATTTGAGCATCTCCTTGATCCTGTCCACTATGTAAAAGCAAAAATCCTCGTCGTAATACGCTATGTCCCCTGTTTTGATCCAACCATCCGCGTCGAAGCTGGAGGTCGTGTCCAAGTTGTAGTAGCCGTTCATTTGACACTTATGCTTGAACCTCAACTCGCCTTGCTGATTGAATCCCAGCACCTCTTCAGATTCAGGATCTACAATCTTCAATTTACATCCATTAATAATCTATTGATACAAAGCGTTCGTTTAAAGCAATTACTTTGTATTGAATACCGCTGAGTGGGCGACCGCAAGAGCTGTATTTCTTGTGCATGTGCAGAACATCTCTTCTATCGCTAGGTCTGAAACATGTTAAAAGTCCTGTGGCTTCAGATTGTCCATAAGCTAAATGCACGAAAGCTCCAGGCACCAAATCTCCCATCAACATGTTGTTTTCAGCAGAAAGCGGACCTCCGCCAATTATAATATCGTGAAGACTAGTTGTATCAACTCCTTCGGGTCTTCCTGCCTTTATGATCCTCACGACTTGACTTGGAGCCATAAATATAAAGGTGACCTAAGTGTGCATACAAAAATATAAATACTCACACAATATGAATGTAATTGTAATTAATAAAAATACCTTGCAAGCTTCTAAGATTTCCCAAAACTCGTTCGTATCGAATTTGGGAACAATGCATCTCATTTTTCCGAAAAGATGTTGAATGTTCAAGAATAAAACTGTAGAAATCCAATACGTCGAAGCGTAACTCAACATGGAATCGTAGACACCGCCGTTATTGCTAAAATATTATAATTTTAAATTTTAAATCTTGTAGATTGAAGACTGTTACCATAAGAAATGAGCTTGGAAAGATAATCCGTAATGATGGACGCATATGCCTTTGGATAAGCCTGTGGTTCCGCTGCTGAATAAGATAACCGCTGTAGTCGTGTTATCTTCGACTTCGTAAGGAGAGAAGTCGCTTTCGTCTTCAGTTTCGCACGCGAAATCTTCGAAGTTCGAGTCGTCTCCAATTAAAACCAACCTGGTTTCGTTCAAGCCGACGTTGGCTAATGCATTGCGAATCATTCCTTCGGAATCTTGCGAGACGAAGATGAATTTCGGGTTGACCTGTTTCACCAGGTGCTCGGTGTCTTCCAAAACAATGGTGGGATCTAAAGAAGCCACAACGGCTCCGATGAATTGCGCCGCGACGAACGGAACGCAATTATCGAAATTATTCACCGAGCAGAGGCTGATTACGTCTCCCGGTTCTACTCCGCTATTCCTCAATGCAATCGCAGTTCTAACGCATCTCTTCAGCAAAGACCCGAAAGTTTCTGTCCTTCCGCTCGGCCAACCTATCTGCGATTCGAGGAATTTTTCAATAACCAGTTGCGTTTCGATGGAAAGTTGTAACTTACTTGGGCAATCAGATCTTCGTTCTTGAGCATGCTGTTGTAGAAAGCGTGTCCGAGCCCTTTTGGATCCGGCTCGTAGACATCCGGGCATCCCTGGATGATCTTCGTTTCCTCATCGTAAATCGGGTCGCAAATGTAATCTGCCATTTCTATCCGTTGGTGCGATGATATACATGCACAACACACTTCTATCGTCATCGGCGAAGAAATTCTTTCTTTATATACATGCGATCGTTTATGTCCCATGCCATGCGCTATTATCTAATCACCTTGATGGTAATTGTCGGGTTTGAATGAAACATAGTTGGTCGGATTCGCTACAATGGTAGTTATCCCCGTAAGGGAATTCTCCGATCCGCGGTGATTTGCTGTTTGTTTTTTTTTGGGAAGTGGTCGTCGCGTGCTGCAATCGCGTGTCCACTCTGAACGTAGATGAGAAACCTCATCACCAGAAGACGCTCGACAACGAACTGACCTCAAACTTGTTAATTTCCAGTTGAAATAACATAAAATCAATCCCAATTTATTGACCAATATTGAAAATCTTTTGATTCCATTTCCGTTTCTTTACGTTAATATATCAAAATCTGCAAATGAACTGCAACATCTTTTAAACTAAAAATATTACATTTTGTAATAGAGAAGAAAAATGAAGCAAATTTGAAGGTGATTTCCCATTATTTTCAACAGTTCAATTCAATATATAATTATTAAGATCATACCATATACTTTACGTGTTGTACAAATAATCCAAGAATAACGAGTTATTGATTGGTTAGATTTTCACATAATCAAACATACATGGATGTTTCCACAATAACTAATTAATTATTAAACATTTTCCTGGCGCACACAAAAGCAAAAAATAAACAGTTTATTGAAATTATATACAATCCATTTTTGAAAGTTGTTCTTTATGTTTAAAACTGAAAAAAAGTTGCTTCTATTCTAGTTTTGAATTAATACTAACTTTTGCAAAATTAATCCAAGATTTACTTTAGAAAATGTCATCTTTATAAAAATTTTAAAAAAATGTTGAAGAAAATAAATTCAATTCTTAAATATTTTATTTCTCAAGTCTATTTGCTAGATTTTGACAATATTTTCAATATAAAGTATTTAATAATTATCTAATTATTTGCGAAAACAGTTTTGAGATTTCATAACAAAAATATAATTAATTTATCATTAGTGTTATTATCGAAATAATAAAATAATTAACAAGAAAAAGCAGAAATTAATTATGTAATTATTTATTATTGGAATGTGTAATAAAGTGTGGTATTAACTGAGATTCGTTCCCACTAAATATTCTGATGAAGTGCAGACAATCTATCAAATTACATGACTTTTACGTATCAATTTACTTAGAAGCGGTTATTTGGATAAATATGCAAATTGGTGGAGATGCGCATAAAGAAGAAAGCTGTTGGTGAAGAATTGATGATAATCTATTATACAGACGGCGTAAACACGAACGCCGTCTGCAGATAAACACACCACTATTACCGTTAATATTTTAAAAACGAAGCCAACAATTCAGTGTTTAATGCGTCAAAGTGGAACAAATCTAATGTTTCAATAACATCTTCTTTAAGACATTCTTCTTGACTTTTCCGGATGGGGTGTAGGGTAGAGTTTCAACGAACTTGACTCCGCCACGCAACCTGTACATATCGTCGATTCTCTCATCCAAATATTTAATGATCTCTTTCTCCGTCGGCCGAGTGTTCGGTTTCGGTATGATCACTGCCATAGGATGATCTCCGTCCACCTCATGAGGAACGCCGATCACGGCAACCGCTGCGACTTTGCTGTGAGTCAGAAGAATGTTTTCTATTCTCGCAGGTGGAATGTGATATGATCTGAATTTCAACATCTCTTTGATCCTATCTACTACGTAGAAACAGAAGTCTTCGTCGTAATAGCCGACATCTCCTGTAGCGACAAATCCATCCGAATCGAATCCTTCGCTCGAATCCATGTTATAATACCCGTTCATCTGGCATTGAGATTTATAACGAATCTCCCCATGCTCGTTCATTCCTACATTCCTCTGCGTTTCCGGATCTACAACCTGAATCATTAATTTACAGCAGTCAAGCCGTGGATGAATTAATCCAATAATACTTTGTATTCGAATCCAACGTTCGGTCTTCCCGCTGATAAAGGCTTCTTATTGAAGAGGATAACGTCCCTCGGGTCGCAGGATCTAAAATTTGCCACCATTCCGGCTCCTTGAGTTTGACCATAAATCAGTTGCACGTGCGTTCCCGGCACCAAATCCTTCAAAAGCCTATTGCTTTCCGCAGAAAACGATCCTCCGGATAATATAATATCTCCTAGACTTGAAGTGTCCACGTGTTCCGGTCTCTTCGACCTCGTGATAGCAATACCTTGTATCGGTGCCATCATTATAAAAGATACCTGAAGAAATAGTTAACAACAAAGACATTCATAAATTAACGTACTTTGCATTGATCCACAATCAACCAAAACTCGTTAGGATCAAAGGCTGTCGCGATGACACGAGTTTTTCCAAAAATCAAGCTAGTCGTCAGGAACATCGTCGTGGAAATCCAATAGGTCGAGGCGTAACTCAAACAAACATCGAAATTGAATCCAGCCGAACTGCAGAGATTGTACAAATTATTTAATGGATTTGTAAAGTTCTCGTGGTTTACATCAAATGATGCGATTGACACGCCAATCCGTAATGCGTTAAGCAGATTCCTTTCGATAATCCCGTAGTTCCGCTGCTGAACATGATAATTGCGGTCTCCTTGTTGCTTTTAGTTTTGTAAGGCTCGAACTTTGAAACGTCTTTTGCTTCTTGAGAGAATTCTTGGAAACTCTTGTGCCTATCACTGCCTCCGCTAACAACAATCAACGTGTCCATGCGACAATTGTGTATGGCTTGTTCGATCATCGCTTCGGATTGTTGCGAAACGAAAATTATCTTCGGTTCTACCAGTTTCAGGAGATGCTCCGTATCGGTTAAACCAATCTTCGGATCCATCGAGGCCAATTTCGCTCCGATCAGTTGAGCAGCAATAAACGGGATGGCATTGTCGAAGTTGTTTATGGAGCATATGCTGACAACATCTCCAGGTCCTATACCCAATCTCTTAAGCGCTTCGGCCGTTCCGATACTCCTTCTCAACATGGACCCGCATGTTTCTGTTTTTAACGTCTTTGAATCTATCTGCGTGAAGAACCAAATTCTAATAATAACTTATTGTTTTTAGAGAATGAAGATGAATCAAACCTGTCCAACACGATCCGAGTATTTCTGAAGATTCTCGTGGAAAGTGTGACCTAAGCCGAATGGATCGGGGACGTAGATTTCGGGCGCTCCGTAGACGATCTTCGTTCGTTTATCGTAGACGACGTCGTGCAGTAGGATTGGCTCCCCGATATTATTGACCGCATCTTCGTACATGATTGCACAAAATGGTAAATCTTCCTGGGATTGGTGAGTGTTATATGCGCTTTCTTCGTGCATTATTCATAATCCGACTAGTAATGCAGTTCAGTTAAATGCACTAATTGATTTGCATCCATAATGCACCTGAGACTTCTTGTCCAGTTTTGTTCGATATCCAATATGCAAACTTTCTATAATTGTTTCAATGTTAAACAGTTTCACACAGAAGTAAAAATTAATTTAATAATGCTACAATCCTTCCATTCCCATCAGAACAGTTCAAGATTAAGTGTAGCAGTAAACGTTTTTATTTAAGCTTTACAATTAGTTAGAAGCAAACATGTTTTAATTTGATTATTTTTTCAGAAAATCCAATGAGACGAAACGAATCGTCAAGTAATTCCATTATCTTGTCTTCAGACGATGCAAATGATCAAGATACTCATCTTTAACAAATTGGTAATCAAACTTTGGGATTATACTATTAGTTCGAATACATATGAAAATGTTTACATCTTAATTCAGATTTGTTTGTTTGTAGTTTCAAAATCAAATTTACTTGACGAGTAATTGGATGTACTGTGCAGCAATAAAAGGATCGAAATCATCCAACTGTTGCTGTTAATCCACAAAAATCCGTTAAGAACAGAGCGTCACTTCCGTCTTCCCATCACATCCAGACGATTTGTGCAGAAAACCAACAGCTACAGCTAAAAATCACCTCCACCGATCCAATTTACTGGAGCTATTCGATCGTCGCTTTTCCCCATCATTCGTGAAAGCCGTGGCACAGTCCTGCTGCAGGATCAAGAGAAGTAAATCGTCTTCGATCTTCGACGCCTCTTCGTAATCTGCTTCGTAAATTGTTGTCGGCTTTCTAATATCGTTCACTTCGTCTTTCTTTTATAATCATTCCAGTTGAACTTTCCTGAATTATTAAAACTTATAAAGACGGGGAAAAAAATAATGATGGAAAAAAAATCGTATGCGGATTATTGATCACATTGCAATTACAGACTTGAGCAAGATAATCACAAATGGATTAGTACAGAGAGTACAGATAATTCCATTAGTATAATTACATCCACACGACAAATGGTCAGGACAATAAGAAACATAGTTATAATTTATATAATAATAAGAGATTAACACAAAAGAATCGATATGGAAATGGAGGTAGAAAATTTTGAAATATTTAAATTGTTGTTAAATCATTCATCGGTTTGACTGAAATGGCACGTGACACGCAATTGTCCGTGACATTGAATTGTCCATTCGCAATTATCCGACACGTGCAATATCCATTTACTATTCATACTCGAATCATACGCAATTGCGTTTCATAAAGGATCATCGGTGCGTGCGTGCACATGCAATCATGTACTTGAGTTAATTTTACAGCTAAACATTACACCAAAGCTAGTAAATTGGAGCTTTCCATCTAGCTTTCAGCAAGCCACAAAGTTCATAACTCATTTCAATACAAAACTAATTCAATTTGCTTTGAAAAAAGAAATCCTTTTGGTTATTGTCATAACTAATAACAAATCATATTTCACGTATTCATCAAATATACAAACAGATACTTATACGTGATTATTTAGAATAACTTGTGGAATATTCTGAAGGACGGTTACACATTAAATCGTATAGTTGAGTCTATTTTATTACCACTTAACAGCCTTTTCTGCCCCTAACTATTTTGGGCAGGATTATAAAACTTATATAAAGAAACGGTTGTATTTTCCACAAGCTCAAAACTGATTTAATATCTCTCCCACACAGACCCTTTTTGAAATGAACATATTTTTGTATTATATAATTTAGTCTTAACTAGAGGGTCGAACTTAGAGGAAGTCTTAGTTGGAGGAGCGAATGAAGATCACTGTCTTCCTAATTACTAACTTAAGATGAGAATGAAACTCTTAGTTAATAATCCATGAGATCAACTATTGTATAGTTGACTTCTCAATAAAAACGACATAACTACGAGATAATCCACAGTGTCCAGAAATTTCTTAATATGTTTCATTGTAAATCAGTTTTTAAGTATTATCAAATCGAAAGTAAACTCGTGCACAGTTAAAACAAGAAAGAAAAAAAACAGACATTTGCGTGTCCAACTAAAATTAAGTATATTTATTTGAAAGCAGTAATATAATTATCGTTTATTTCGAATAGCATATTTTGATTATACATTTCGCTTCCCTTGTAAGCATTACGTTTCGAACAGAAGCATTGTTATAAAATTGTCTAAAAATTACGAGTTCGCTGATAATTACGAGTACTTTCAGTTAAGTGCAAACAATGGAATTGAAACGATCACGGTCACTCGCGATTATGATTGAATTCGTGCGGGTTTTCGAGAGCGTCTCGTCACGAAACGCGAAGTCCTTCAATTGTCGTATTCTATAAGTTAAACGTTAATAAATAATACGGCGGCGTCCAACCAGAGTCTCGTTCGTCCTGCAATTACAGTCATTATTTCGCTGCGATCCGGAACGGATCATAAAGTTTTCAAGAGCATCGATCCAATTCGGAGCGAGAGAACTTTTTCTACATGTATTTTCTACATCGTTCGCTGACTAACTGCTCTGTTTACATCGCACGACCTCGAACTTAATCCTCCAATGTTCCACTGATTTATCTAACAGCAACAACAATAAACTTTGTCGTTAGTAAGCTAATACAAAACCGAGTAATAAAGTGTCGAGATGCTAATATTTGCGTTCGTCTTGCAATCGAGATAATAAAAATATATCAACATTCCTATTTTCTTTCTTTTAATAAAGAAACATTTTTCACTTCAAAGATTAAGAAGTGTTATAAAATAAAGTAAACAAACAAATCTGCTACACACAACAATAATTTATTATAAGTCAAGTATCTTGCAAATGATAATGTCAGGAACTTTTCGATTAAAAGTTTCCTATTTGTTTTTATTTGTTTCCGCTTGGAATTCCACTTGAATTTTTTGTATTTCTGATGTACTATAAATCACCAACAGCTACAATTCTAATGATTATTAGATGAATGAATATTATATTCAAATTAATGTTAAGAGTTTGTTTTCTTTTTATATCTAGAGTATCTACATTAATTTCAATATTTGAAAATGTTTTATTAATAATTTACAGAATTATTGTACTTTAACAATTTTCGTATAAATTTGTATTGTTTAGTAATATTATATAGTTGTAAATTAATTTAAATAAATCTCATAATAAAGTGTAATTATTTTAAAAGTATTGGTACAAATCTAGAAGCCTTGTGTTTTTTTTATTAATATTTGTAATTTAATATTTCAATACATCTCCTTACATTATAAGTAATTTACTATTATATAATGCAATTCTCTTAAGTGATGTAAAGTTTATAAAATAATTGTGTTTTAGTCAATATTTTTGAATAAAGTAATCTTTAAAATTAAGTATGTTTTATTTCTATAGATTCGTACGTTTCATACATATATACGTTTAGTTCAAAATAATGATTATGTTAGATTTATAATTGCTAATTAACTTTTACAACGATAACAATTATAATTTAATTAATTACTAATTATTTTTGAATTGTTAATGTAGGCAACCAAATGTACTCGAATTCAAAAGTTCTGGAAACGGACGTGCGGTGCGCCACTTGCCCCAATGTCCTTTCCCAACAAGAATTCCGCTGTTTGTAAAAGTTTCAAAAAAGTTGGAAAGTTTCAGTGGAAATGCCAATTTTCTTCAATTACAACTATTGAAGATTTGCAAAGTGAGCGATTTTTACAGTTTACAAAGTTACACATTTTCGATTTTTAAGATTGTTGTATAACAATAAATCTTCTTGAGAAACGACGCTATATATTTGCTTATCCTGTTGTCTGTGTAATTTGTTATTAAGGAAAAGAAGTTAAAAGTTAGAAATCATTTGGATATTGCGTATTGAACTCTGACCAATGGTGAACCACCATTGTTGCAAACTGTTTCATTTATCTAATTGCAATTGTTTTAAACAAATTGTAACCAGTTTCGTTGATTTTACTGTGATTATTAATAGCAGTATTTCCTAATTTAAGTAACAAAAATAGATATATTAAGTGTTATTATTATAATTTGTTAAAATTGGTTGGTTAGTTGGTATTGGTGGTTTGGCGCACGAAGAAGTAGAGCGCATCTTCGCTTGACCTAAGCAGTTCTCTGGATTGTCAGAAAAGTTAGGTGTTAGAAAATCAAATAATCCTCGATTACGATTGAAATTCAGTGCAATGAATAATGAAAAAGCAGCTGATGCAACGATTTATCGGTGAGTACTTGAATAATACTTTGTAGCTCAGTTTCAAGTTCTTATTGGAGATCCAATTGTTGTAAAGTGATGCATTTTTCTGACTGCTTTTGTTTTGAGAGTCTTATGGCTAGTTTGATTCATTTAGTTCTTAACGATAACTTTCTTCAATTAACGTATTTTTGATAATCAATTTGCTTTGTCTCAAAAAATGAATAAATTAAATTTTGATTCGATGTGTAAAAAAAATATGAATTTGAAAAACCGTTAAAGTCGGTTGGTTGGTTGGTATTGGTGGAATAGTGCAAAAAAAAATGCTCAATCAACGTCCTCAAGCCAATAACAGCCCACCACCTAAGTTCATTTCCAATCCTGCTGTCGATGGTGGCGGTTTTCATCCATTAGCGAATCTTCTAATACACCCCAATAATTAATATAATTGAGGAAATCAAAGCAGTTTATTGCAGCAATTAATATGTGAGTTCTTATTTAATTTAATTAAGTTTTCAATGGAGATTCAAGACTCAATCTTTGCAAACTTCCAATTACGTAGTTTCGAATATGAATAAATTAAATTTTGATTCGTTGTGTAAAAAAAATATGAATTTGAAAAACCGTTAAAATCGGTTGGTTGGTTGGTATTGGTGGAATAGTGCAAAAAAAAAGCTCAATCAACGTCCTCAAGCCAATAGCAGCCCACCATTTATGTTCATTTCAAATCCTGCTGTCGGTGGTGGCGGTTCTCATCCATTAGCGAATCTTCTAATATACCCCAATAATCAATATAATTCAATTCTATTGAGGAAATTAAAGCAGTTTATTGATTTATTAATTGATCCGTAATTAAGTTTGTTTTTTTTTTCAATAAAACGCGTATATATATTTATATGGATGCAAGGTACAAATAGTACCAGGTCATTTTAGAATGGCAAGACCGTCTGTGCGAAAACCTTCCCGAGGTGCATCCGTTAGGTGATTACTTTGTATCCCAAAATACAAAGCAACCACGAACAAATCACAGCGGATCTAGGCTAATTCGCCGAATCGCGATATTCATCAGATTTCATAACACCAGTATGCATTTTCGTATAAGCTATGTCTTGTTTGGGCAAGTCATGTCTTATTTAATGTGAGTGCATGTTGATATTATGTCAAACAAGATGAATAACAATTGTACATTAATATACAACTGTAACTAAAATTATTTGATGTTATAGGTGGGAATTTGTTGCTGAGAATCGAGTTTCCAATTGACCTGAAGTATCAAGGACATGTCAAGACGTCTCAAGAGGATTTTGAAGCCAGTCGGATTTCCAATGGACCTGGATGATCAACGCGATGGATGGATTCACAATCGTTTGTACATCTTCCTATTCAACAGTAATTAAAATTACTTGACGTTCTAGGGTCTAGGTTTCTCTGGGTCATCGAAGTAGTGAGTTTCCAATGGACCTGGAGGATCAACGTCATGGCGAGCGCGACTTCCGAGGAGGATTTTGAAGAAACCGGATTCATAATCGTTTGTATATGTTACTATTTAACAGTAACTAACATAATTTGACGTTCTAGGTTCTAGGACATCGAAGCAGTTAGTTTCCAATGGACCTGGAGGACCAACGTCATGATGAGCGCGACTTCCGAGGAGGATTTTGAAGAAACCGGATTCATAATCGTTTGTATATGTTACTATTTAACAGTAACTAACATTATTTGACGTTCTAGGTTCTAGGACATCGAAGCAGTTAGTTTCCAATGGACCTGGAGGATGAATGTCATGATGAGCGCGACTTCCGAGGAGGATTTTGAAGAAACCGGATTCATAATCGTTTGTATATGTTACTATTCAACAGTAACTTAAATTATTTGTCTTTCTAGGGTCTAGGTTTCCTTGGGTCATCGAAGTCGTGAGTGTTTTTATGTTTTTGCATTTAGATATATTACCTTATTAGCTAGTTTCTTTTCAATTTTCATATTTTTATTTGCTTTACTTCTTTCAAATTTCCAATTTTATTTTCAATTTTGATTTTTTTTGTATCCCTCAGATATTAGTTTGTTTAGTCATTTTGCAGTAGTGGTGATATTTAGTTTGCTTTATTCGCTTTTGCATGTTCTGCTTTCAGGGTGAATCTAAGTATTCACAATGCCCGAAAATCACTCGAAGTCGTAAAGTAACAGACTGAAGAATATTTAGTCAAATTTGACTATAAATTATTCTTAGTCTCTTTCAGTACGATTTTAAATTCCTATTAGATTAAATCA